GTACAAGTAAAATAAAAAAATATGAAACATAATATGTACTTGGTAACGTCGGTTTCAAGAAAAAATATTCTATGTTGTAATTTTTTTTAAAAAAACTGGCCCATTATTATTATTATAATTTCTTGTATGCCTTTTATTTATTAAAATTTATTAAATCAACGGTTCAACGTAGGAACATTGAAAATGAATGTACATGTGCGACCAATAAAAAATAGTTGAAATTTTTTATGCTCGTGGTAAGTTGAACGTTACGACGCAATTATGTTCCTTTTTATCTTCCATAGTGAACTTTGACATGTTATTTTGCCCTTTGAGTTCCCCTGCACCAGGCGCCGCATTGAAGCTTTAACACAAAATGGCGCCACATTAACGAAGGTCATGCCTACACTTAACTTTCATATTCCTTTTTATTGTGGATTGATGGAATATATTTACCTACAATTCGATATTTAAACCTACAGTGCAACTTCTGTAGAGCGACCATCCGTAGAACAATACAAGTTATTAATTTATAATAATTACAATTCTCTAAGTTAAGGTTATTAAGACATTCAACCGTTGTAGAGTAACGCCTCTAAGAAACAGCCAAAATATTTGTGTCCTTAAGTGTGTTGCTCATCAGAGATTGCACAGTAAATGCATTTTTTGCAGCGACGCGACAGTGTTCCTTAAAAGTGTTGTTTTTTCCCGACACTTGATTTTCTCACAATGAATAGTATACAATATTATTTTTTGTATTGCGTGTGTACATGTACATTGTTTCTAAAACTGGATACAAGTATAATAAACATTTGTTTTTTTTCTCTAGTTACTAGTATTTAATTTCGCTGAATTACTCATAAATGTTAAAAACCAAGAGAACGAGTCACTTTTTTCTCTGTATTCTGTTCATAATTATATTCTATAAAATTAGCATCAGCCTTCTCCTGCTGGCGACAACAGATTGTACCAAAGTGATCAGTGCAGACCAAGATTGGTCGGCACATCCCTGCAGACTGATCATAGTCTGCACTGTTCACTATTCAGTCAATACACGATTTATTTTGAAATTATCCCTAAAAATGATGAATGGTTTATCTATCTTGAAAGATGGACTAGTCCATTTAAGATATTTAGCGTGGTAAATGTTAGTCCATGTGGTATCTCATAATAACCAGAATATTTTTACTAAGTGGGGGACGCAGTAAGTTATTTTTGCATACTTGGACCTCATTTTGGTAATTTCCTTGAAGTTATTTGCCGTATGCAATTTTTTTAATTACTTGTTTCGTTCACTTCACAATAATATTTTACTTTACAAACATATTTCCCCAAAATTTTCATTAAAATTAGCGAGAATATGGAAAACATTATTTAAGTGTATTGTATCATTAAAAATTTGTATTGCTTTCAGTTCGACATGCACGTAATCTGATATGGGCTCAAACCCCATCTTTGAAGATAGGTGTCTCTAGAATCGTCGGCATAGAAGGAGATCCGACTGAGGGGGTGCCGAGGGGAAAAGTACAGGTTCGACATATCAGGTAAAAAAACTGCTCATATGTTGTATTTGTTTTTTATGTCAATATTAAAAAAACCTGTGATGAAATTCATAAATTTTTTTGCCCCCACTGCGCCTGAGTACTCAAAGGTTTTTTGTATTTAAGGAGATTCTTTTTTTAAAAGAATTATTTTACATACCCTTTTGACTTTTCCCCTTATCAGGAAAGTGTATTACTCAGAACCTAAATGTAAATTGGAATTTTTCCGAAGTTTCCGTTCATCAGCCTTGAAAACCCAGCCAAGTGTTCAAAATTCGGAAATGGGGGAAAGAAAATGATGAATTTTGAATTTAAAACAGATTGTAACATCCGAAGACCTTCACTTTTACATCATTCTGTGTGTGTGTTTTTTTAAGAATCAAAACTATGCGGGCATTATAAATTTATTGACTTTAACCGGATTTATTTTTATTTTCATATTAATTTTTGCATAAAAAGATGTAAAAGCTAAGTCTATTTTTCTCTTTCATTGTCTAAATTGCCAAGATCAAAAAGATCGTGTATGGGAATGTTTCTAATTGAATAGAAAGTACTGAAAGTTTCTCTGAAAAAAAAAAATCCAGTGAACATATCAAAAGTATTCGGGTGAAAATGTTTACAAAAAAACAAGTGATATCTTATGTTCGAACTAATCCAAATTATACCCCGGTCTAAACCCTGGCATCTTTTTTAGTAGAGTTATTCGGGATTTGTACTATACAAAAAATGTGAACTTTTTTTCCTATCAAGTGGGAGATTTTTTTTTCAAAGAGAGGGGGATTTTAAAATTTCAATAAACAAAGAAAAGGAAATTCTGAAAACAAAAGTAGGGAGATTTCTTTAATTTGTGAAAAAAACCCCTTTTTTTAAAAATATCTTTCAAAAAAAGGCTTCAGAAAGTGGTAGTCTCCCGCTTAAAGTGGGAGTTTACATGCATGACTATATAATTATAAAATAAAGACATGTGGGTTTTTTCCCGGAGATTTTCTATTTTTTAAAATTTTTATGTTATCTAGTGCTCCGCACCATGGTGGCAGTTTAAATCTTTGGCATTCCACTATGGAGCTCAAACCCTTTACTGGTCCGAGTCAACCAATAAGAAGATACAGGAAAGGATCCTTTACACCTCATTTAAAGATAGAGAGATGAGATTGAGAGATCCGCCACAATAAATTTATATTCTACATACTTAAAGACGTAAAATTTAGTGTCAGAAAAGCCTTCGATATTAAGACGTATAGTATAATATGGGAAAGTCATAGACCGGACCCGCTGCCCCTAAATTATACGGTTTAAGACTAAACGTATGGTAATTTTAATAGGAACAAAAAAAACAACACAATTAAAAACAAAAAACAACATGTAATGACATATAAAGATGTATAGTACATGTAACTAGCTATCTAACTATTGATTCCTGCGTTTTTTTAAAAAATGTTAGAATATGGAAACGATGCTTGTTTTTGAAACGTTCTCCCTGTCTGTTTGCATACAACGTAAAACGCGGAACTACAGTACATAATCCTACTCTGGAGTGCAAGTTTTATAATCTGCGATTTCTAAACAGGAAATGGTTAACCTCAAAAATACTCGAGTCGTGTGCAACTTAAAATCAGTTTTAAACCAGCTTTGATTTTCAGTTTAGATTCTCCCCTTTTTATAAGCTTTCCCAAAGGAACTCGGGAATAGGACCGCATATTGCGGCGCATGAATCCGAATTCGTACCGGCTTTACATACATGGATTGTCTGTCCGACATTTGAATATCTTTTCATATTATCCGAGTGAGTGGTCTTTAATAATATAATCCCAATTTAATATTATCTGTTAGTCTAAAATCTGTCAAATTTACGCTTTATAGAAAAAAATTCTTCTTTTTTTTACAATACCGTAAAATTTGACCAATTTTATAAGTAACAAATTGTTTTTCAATTGATAATATATTCTTTGAGGCCATACATCGCATAAAAATACTAAAAGACGTTTAGATGTAGAAAAAACATTTTAAAAAAACCCGTTTACAACGACCGAAACATATGCGCCGCAATCTGCAGTCCTGGGGGTAATCTTGCGGTCCCTGTTGCCACGTATTCATTATGGCTTTCTCTTCTGTCATTTTTGCAATATAGTATAATTCTAGATTTTCGGCCCTTTTCCCTTCCCAACCCTACTCAAAACTTTTTTCACAATGATGAAAGCAAATAAAGCAAAATTCAAATCCTTTGTTTAGGCTCTTCGCCTGAATGGAACAACTGAAACGGAAACCATCTTTACCGGAACTTCCAATATGGCGGAAGGATTGCCGTAGACTGGGTCTCTAATAATATTTATTGGACTGATTCACTGTATACTGGATAGTGATGGCACCGTTGTCAGCACAAGAAAAAAGTTTTACAGATTAAGTTGTAAGAAAAGACCTGACAAATCCTCATAGTGTTGGCGTTCATCCGGGAAGGGTTATGATAACAATAAAAGCTTTTATTGAGATGACAGCCTTGGTGGTATTTATAAGTAAATGAATAAGAGTGAAAATTATACATCCAAAAATCGATGGTTTTCGGCTCTTTCCGTCAAACTCTGGATAATGACTGATCATTGATAATAAGCTTGGTGTTCCAAATGATAGACGCATGCGCGCACCGGAAGCAGACATTATGTCCATTTCTGCATTACAGGATGAAAATGTAATAGCATATATCTTAATGCTGGTTTTTCTCTCGACATCGTGTTTTTTAATATATGTTTGAGATTTATTTTGCTAGACATATTTTAAAACACTTTATTTTTAATTTCTCTTATATTTGTAGGTACATGTGTATTATAATTTGAATATTTGTCATTCCTTTTGTAGGTATTTATTTTGGACCGATTCTGGTACTGTTTCAAAGATTGAAGTCTCGGATCTTCTCGGAGAAAATCGTTTAACGATAATTGGACACTGATATTTCAACAATCCGCGTGGTATAACAATAGACTTTAATGATGACATGTTGTACTGGGTGGACAGTAAGAAAGATACAATAGAATGTGCTGGTTTCCTTGGCAACAATAGACGGGTTGTGGCCTATCAATCTGCAACGATTTTCTTCGGAATAGCAGTATTTCAGGTTTGATATTTTTAATAATCTATTTCTCTTTTCGTTTAAAGTAAATTCTTTTCACCTAATGAGTGAATTCACGGTTCCTTCGAAGAAAAAAATCAGTGAAAACTTGTGAAGGTTTTTAGCATGTAGCAGAAAACAAATTAAGTGGCGACTCTAAGGATCATATCTTGTAAACATTGCAGACGACCATTGCCTTCTTTATGAATTATTATTACTCTTATGATTTGAACTTACGAGTCCAAAGGACTATACACTTTTGTGGCTATGTTTCTTGGACATTTTTTTCTAATTATTTCCATTTCAGAAATATTTATTTGTAACAGAACAAATGCAGGGTCATCTAAGAGTGTATGACAAACTGACCGGGAATAATGAGATCAACTACCAGCTCGGATACATACCGGATGGTATCATAATGTACGACGATTCCCTACAGGCAGGCAACTCTTGTAAGTAATGACAGATTCTCTCCCCTGTTTCCGAGAAAATATAACGCTTTTCAAACCAATTAGTCTCTATCATCTTCATATTAAGAGTTTATTCTCGTTAAGTTCAATACTGAATTCTATTGCTTAAAAATCTATATTGGACGAGGAGCTAGAGTACGATATAGGTTTTACAGCTATGTTGAAGTTCAATAGAAATAGTATTGTCTTCAACAACGTTTACTCACTTAATTTATATTTTTATATCTAACAATTTTTTTTACTAATTGTCAATGGTGTGAAATTTGAACTACAAATCAAAACACGTGGAAGCTCATGTGACAAAACTTTTGTCGGCACGGATGACATGTATTAAAAGTAAAGTTAAAGAAATATGTCTGATGAAATAAATCACGTCTAGGCTGTGATCACACTAAGCCTTACTTTAACCTTTTCTTTCTTACGCCGAATACGGTAAGCCTTACCCACCAATATAGAGCGCAGTCTGAACTGGCTAGATACAGCTGGCTGACCAAGAGCAAATTTTTTTTTTTGATATCCCTAAAATTGATTCACAAGGTTATAGGCGAAAGTAAAAAAGTAGAACATTGAATATCATGCAGCAAAATGTGATCAAAATCTATGTCTTCTACATTCTGTTAACAGCTGAATGTGATGCCAAGGGTTGCCAACACATCTGTGTAAATGATCCCCTATATGGACCCAAATGCCGGTGTGGAGACGGATATATACTAGACAAAATAGATCAAATCTCATGTACAGGTAAAGAAGGTTTTTTTTTTAATCTGATGCTTTTTTTCACCATTTTATACTTCAGATATGAATATACTACGGTGACACAGAGGTGACATGTGTGTGTTTTTATCTATCTCTTGTGCACGAGATAATATGTCGTGCACACGAGTAACTATGTCGTACGCACGAGTCACTATGTCGACCGCACGACAAAATTAAGTCGTAAGCACGAGTAACTATGTCATGCACACGAGTAATTATTTCGTATGCACGAGACAATTAAGTAATGTCTAAGGGTAACTATGTCGTGCGCACAAGATAATTAAGTCGTACGTATGAGTTACTTTTTCGTGCGCACAAGATAAGTAAAAACATACACATGTCAGATCTGTGCCGTCTTAATACAAAGCCACTTTTGAACTAAAGAGCTTTCGTGCAGTTATTGGTAGTTTTTTTATTCCTTTGTTTAAAAATTGTAAAAACTTAAAAGCAATTTTAAAAAAAGAAAACTTGCCCCTCTTACGGGACTCATACACGGGGTTTTTTACGTATTTAATAAGTATCATTTTTATTCAATAATATCAGACAGAAAAGTTTTTAACCAAGCCCTGATGCGTCATATATTTTCAACACAATTTTAAATGGGAAAACCAACAAAGTTCATGGCAGATTTTCATATGATATGTAATGCGGAATCGGTAAAAAATGACCTTCAGGTGCAGGGAAAGGTAAAACGACCTTTAAAATTTCCCACAAAAGGGGACTACATAGAATTCAAATCTATCATGAAAAGCGGAAATTGCCCATTTTCCAAATGGTTAATATTTTAAGTCGTTTTCAGAACTTACGTATTTTTTTCTGATTAAAATTTTTTTTGATTTTTTCAGGGGGAGAAATTTTTCGTGATGCCGAGTCATATCTATGCTATAGGTGACGCTATATGCTATTATCCCGTAAATTTACCCGATATGTCGCTGTATAACGTTTCCCTCGACTCTCAATGCTTCCTCCAGCGAGGGCGAGGGAATTTTGGCCTCACATTTGATGCACGTGAGCACATGCTGTATTACACAGAGAACGTGACCAAAAGTATTGGGCGAATTAACCTAGTGATAGGTGAACCAGGGGCGTCCATCATAAAAGGCGTTGGAGATGTTCAAGGTATTATAATGTTTTGCTGTTTCCTAAATCATTTTTAATTTGTACGAATATTTTTTTTAGATTTTAATTATAACTTTTAGCAATCTTCATCTAATAATTAGGATGTTACCTTAGATTTACAGAAGAGATTCCAGATGTTTAGTTATCATTCTGATTCAGAATATGTCAACAGTAATCTAAAGCATTTGTTTATTTATTGTCTTGATGTGGAAGTTATGTATGCACAAGTCAACTTGTTCATGTTATATTTATAATTGAATGATCTTTATTTACGCATTTGTAAATAGCTTACCATTGACGTCACATCCGGTAAGGGAAAAAACTCTTCTACGCTAATGTCTTAAATGAAAGGATCTATACTCGTAGTTCTTCCGAAAATGGGATATTTTCCCCTATAGTTCTATTTATTAAAGCTTACATGGTGATTTATTAAAGCTTACATGGTGTTATAAAGTATAATGTAATTTCTTCCATGTCCTGCCATTTGTCCTCTTCTACATGTTGTTCTGTTCCATACTCGGTGCCTCACCGGAAGTCGGGTGTATGAATGGATATTATCAGAGATGGTATAAGTGAATCTCTGCCTTGTTGATAAGGAGTGAAGTATCTTACTAATTTAAGGGGGTGAAGTGTATTGAGGTGTAAAGTGTCTTCAAAATTTGAGGGAAATCTGGGGAAGGAAGTGTCTTGTTCCCGTTGATTTATGTTCTTATATTTCAAATAACTATATTCGCAGTTTCGTGTCCATGACTTTGATGCATGTAAGGTCATCAAATACCAGGAAGCAGTCTATTTTAGAAACAAATGTGTCAATAGTTAATATCTTTGACGCATTGTTTTCTTAGACATGAAACACGTTTCAAGTATATTGATATGTTCAAATACTAGTGTCTCCTTTGACTTGGCGCTCGTTTTAATTGTACTGAAGTAGTGTTGTCTATGAAAACTAATGAATATTACCTATTCATAAATATTATATGCACACACACCCATTGTAAAATAACTGTCACTTTCTAAATTGTATTTGAATCACTGTATCGAATTGAAACCACTTTTTGTCATTTCAAAGGGTTGGCTTTGGACTGGTCATCAGGTAATTTGTTCTGGACAGACCTTACATATAACCATATATCCATGGCAAAGAAAGACGGGTTGTATCCATCTGTTATAATTGAAAACCTCGACCAACCTTTCGGTATTGCTGTACATCCTGCCAGAGGGTGAGTTATGGTTGTCAATCCGTACAGTCTTCACAACCGTGATTGGTATTGAACATATTTGAAAATGGTGGTCTGTCGTTAAAAATTGCATATTCTTGGGCAGCTTACGTTGAAAAATTGGCAAAGTTGTGACCAATCATTTGTTCAAATGTTCAACCAATCAATATACAATGTACTTATCTTTCATTCTCAGTGAGAACTGTTAACGTCAGCCAGCATTAATAGTAGCCGGGTTAAGCATATTTTGTTGTTGTTGTTTTTAGCTTATTTATGGTGATTAATCAACTTAAAAGTACATTATAATAAGAAAAAGTTATCAACCAAAATTGGTTGAACAAGATATTTTTTTTGTGAAATTAATCTTTATTTGGAACAATACAGAATGGGCAGACACGTGTTTTGTCTTGTTTAATTAATTTCTGAACTTACAGATTTGAATAAAAGTTTTGAATAAACGACCTAAATACACACTTTGTGTAATCTAATTTGAACATGACCTGTTAAATGTGAACACGATCTGTGTCAATCCAGAAGCTAGGAAGCTGAAACCTAAACATGATTGTGTCATTTATAAGCATTGTCTTTATAAATGAAGATTTATAAATAGAATTTAAACTTCAAAATCAATTGCCTGGAGAAAATACGGCCCTGCATTTTTGGTTTTCGGTATGACTCGGTAGCCATTTTGTCAAGCTTGCAACCATTTCGCTCCTTTCAACTCATTAGTTACCATACTAAAGATTTCTGAAACATCTTTTTTATCAATTGGCACACCAAGTCAATATTTATTGGCGGCAAAAAATATAATTAACAAGACATATGATTTAAATATTCTATCCATTTAAATTATTATCTTGAGGTTGAGACATAATTTTATTGATTTGTTGATTAATTTGGAAGATCTCGGCATTATTTTATTTTATTTATTTATGTATTTATTTTATTTTTTTAGAAAGTTATACTGGACCGAGCAAGGTGAAACAAGTATGATCTTTTGAAGCATCCATGGACGGATCGAGCAAAAGGGCCGCTGGTAAATGAATCTCAGGTTGGAACCCGAACCACCTGTACCTTGACTACACAACCGACAGGTGAGTATGTTAAAATATATAATCAATTAATCTGGTGTCATGTCCTTTCTTTTTATGGCTTAATCACATATAGCTAACCATAAATTTAGTTGCTGTCATGGGACCTTATCATGGTGTGGGCCCAGTCTACTTATTTTGACAATAAACAAAAGCTTGCCAATGGACGAAAGGAGGAAAGAATACTTTACATTTTTAGTTGCAGCCATGGCGCCAGTCCTATCATGGCGTGGGCCCAGTGTACTTCTCTTGACAATAAACGAAATGAAGTGTATACTCTGCATTTCTGCCGAATATGCCTATTAGTACTGTGACCATCTTAAAATTGGCTTCCAAAATTCAGTACAATGTATTGAGACACGCCACTCTGGCTTCCAAATTGCCTCATCTTTAAACACTTAATATCTGGTTTTGTGTAATGGATTCGCCTTCCTTTAAAGTAACAGTCTTCTTGAAGTATAAAGGATTTCAATATGAAACTACAACAGAAAAATACAAAATTTAGCTAGGCTGTTCGGATTGCATGAAAAGGCCGGCTGACCTGGCTGTATACTTGTATCACTATTGGTTACAAGGGGGTAACGGTGAAGGGCATAACTGGTAGCTTACACAGGTCTGTACTCACTGTTCCTGAAAGGGTCGATGGTCATTGGTCAAACTGATAAATAAACACGCCTCCTTAATGAATATGTTTGTAACCTATGAAAGATGTCGCAGCGGATATATTTTTCTATAAAGTTATTTGGCGTTTTAAATTAAAGTGACATTATGCTCATTTTTTCATTGCCAAGTTGAGCTGAAATGACTTTATATTTCAAAAGATTGACTGTTATAATGGAGTTTGACCAACTGTTTTGTTGGAAAATGTTTAGAATAGGATGTAAATCTGCCTTAAATATAGAAAGACTGCCCAATTCTTTTTATGAATGGAACGTTACAGGTCAATTCTGATGGATATTTACAGAAATTTCTTTGGGCAATTGGAGTCATTCTTTGTTCAAGCAAAGTAAACTAACAATGGGAAGGACTTATGGCAAAATGTAAACTTACTTTGACATTAACCTATTCACTCATGGTAAAATACCGAATATACCTTATAACAGAACGATCTTTCCATAGCAACGGATGTTTCATTTCGCGCACGCGCATTCTGCGTAGGGCAAAAGTTTTAAAAGACGTGATTTCATGTTATGTCACCCAGAAAAAAGAAATTTTGGGATGAATTGAAGCGGTAAGTTCCTAAAACGTTAATTGATTTCTATAGCAGATATACAAAATTAGCGGGACTAATAACGAACCTTGTAACTATTTTAGACTATACTGGGCAGATTCTGGACTGTATTCCGTACGCTGTATAGATTTGACGACAGGGGAAGTAACTGTACCATATGAAAAGATCAGCGAACAAGTCACTTTCTTCGGTATTAGTTTTTATCAAGTAAGTACATACGAGAACAACAAGTTATATTGGTCAAAGGAGCTGGTCGTATTGATTAAGCATAAAAAATGTTTTAAAACATTTTTATATTAATTACTTCAAATTTTCAAATGTAAAAAAAATAAATTATTTAATTATTTGTTTATTCATTATTTATTTAGTTTTTTATATTTATTTACTTTATCAAGATTTATTTATTTATTATTTATTTAATATTTGTTTAACAAAAGTTGTTTAATATATGAATTTTATATCGCATGAATTACAAGATAAAATTGTCAATGTAACAGTATCTTTGGCAAATACTGCTTCTATCCTGAAATTGTACTGATTTTTTTAGAATAGTAAAATGATTCAAGATAAATCCAATAATGTCCTATTTTATGTGCGATTTATGACCGGTATTGCAGTATTTTTCACCTTGTTTCTACTGCGTTACTTACAAACTAAGGTCTATTTTTTCTAATTTTGATCTCTCAAAGAGGATTGACATGGGTTTTAAGTGCGGTTTGCAATGTAAAAATTATTTTATTTGTTCACTTCATAATATTTTACTTTAAAAATACATTTTTCAAAATTTTCAATTTTGCTTTTGGATACATTTTTCTCGTGTTATGGTATAAAATTAACTAAAACAAAACCCACAATACTTTGATCCTGATTACGGTTTGGTTACACTGCATGCTAGTGATTTAATTCAGGGCAGCATAAATCCTGTCTGGCCTGTACATGGTGTAACATTATAAGAATAAAATTAATAAAAATCAAGACTGACATGTTTTTTTATTTGGCAAGAAGAATAGTTGTCACTTTGTCATAATATATCTATATCTTTGAGCATAATCTCAGGTTCGAACTGTATTTACAGGATTATTTGTTATGGACGGACAAGGCGGATCAGAGGAACGGTATTCATGCTGCTCGCCTTGATACCTTAGAGAAAGTACGAGGTATCTTGCATCCACATGCTGGTATGGCTTCTGACATTGTAACCTTTGACATTCATAATCAACCGGAATTTAAAGGTACTCTTTGTTTGCTGTTAAGCTTTAATTAATGAAATAGTGCGTTGGCATACCCAGCTATACGAATTATTTTCTAAATATTTCAGACAATACAACCCTTTGGTGCAATTGTTTTTACTTTTATTTTCCTCATATCTTTATATCGAATTAATAATTATCTCCTAGTACTGGACAATAAAAAGCAATGGCTGAACCTAAAATATTCATCACTGGCTGGCTCGTAAACTTCCGGAAAGTTTCGTGACTCGCAGCCTTGGTCACTTGTTTAGAAGCATTTATTTTAGTCGTCAAAGCCGATAAGCAAGCATTCAAGTAATAAAGGCGCATGAGCACTTTGAATCTTTCTAAATTATGACAATGACGGCTTTTATGCCGGCAGTCCATTTTGCAGTGATTAGATACATCTGCCTTCGATTCAAAAAATGGGCTTATAGGCAATATATGTTACATGTTCAGTACTAATATATCGTAAAACATAAACACAGTTTCATTAGATTTTTTATACCAATTATGTTTGTCAATGATTTACTTTTGTCCACTTATTTAAAATTTCGAACTTCTTTCAGGAGCATGCGATGACGACACAAACTTTTGCGAGCACCTGTGTATTCCTACGGCTAATACTACCTATATATGCAAATGCGGAGTTGGTTACACATTGGAAGAAAACATGAGAACATGTACATCAAGTAAGACCATAAGAATACACATATTTACGATACAGTATCCTACCTTTGATATTGTCCTTTTTTGATTTGCACAAATTTGATAAACTTATCGCTTTTTTTCTACTTTGAAACATTACGATTTAAGTATTTCTCATTAAATCTCTAAGGAATGATATGAAATGCAGTTCGTTCTACATGTTTTAAATAAGATAAATACCCAAAACATAAAATATCATAAAATATTACATATGAAATTATTTAAAGGCAGCACAATAAACAATGTGTTTAACGTAGAAAAATATAGATGCAGATTTTTTTCTCAAGAAATTATCTTTATTTTGGATGACTGTTAGATGTATATAGTTTTTGTACTTTAATTTTTGTTTTTAAAGGCGTAAAAACGGACAATTACGTAGTTACAGTGGATTCGTATCAGAAACAAATTTACCAGATTCAAATTGGCACCGGTGACGTCAGCGCAATACCATTGGTCAATTTCTATAAGGGCGTGGCCATAGATATAAATCCATTTACAAATACCCTATATTGGAGCGACAATATGGCAAATGTCATCATGAAAGCGCAAGTGGATGGTTTCCAAGAAGAAGTATTCAAACGATTACCAAATGGTACAATTTTGTATCCTTATCATTTTGTTAATATCTAAAAATAGATAAAATATCTAAAAATAGGCAAAATATCTAAAAATAGATAAAATAAATATCTTTATATTCACATTAATGTTCAAAAAATAATGTTATGAAAGTATTTAAAAATATATATGAAAAGTCAATTATTTCTGTGAAACATTATGGCCTCCAGTGACAAACGGATATGATATCATTCAGATTCAAAACAGAATCACCTATTTCTTTTTCTCAAGTGAGGAAAATGTAGTTGTTGTTGACTCATGCAAACGTAGATATTATTAGTAATCAATTTTTTGGCAGGTTTTATGGCCCTCATTAAATGTTCGTTTGCATAATAATATTATATAACCCGAGCTGGTAGATTGTTGTATGACAAACCATATACATGTAACCTGTCAGGAATCTTTATAACAAATTTATAACATAGCAAACGTCTTTTTTAGAGAAAAAGTAAGACTTAAATTGACTACGGCTCGGGTTATATTTCCAAACAATCGTTTATACAAGGCCATATAACCTGTCGAAAATCTAAAATTTAAACTTATAATATACACTTCACAATTGTCCAATGAAAAGCGACGTTACCAACATGCAGTATTATAAAATTCATAATACACGTGTTTTCTCCGCAGAATCAATATCAGATGGCATCGCTGTTGATTATATAAATCAGTTACTCTTCTACACGTGCACGTTTGACAAGGTCATTGTAGTTGTCTCGCTGAAAAATAAAGACATTTATAAAACAATCGTTAATGAGTCATTAGACCAACCAAGGGACATAATCGTGCACCCGGAAAGAGGGTAAGTATGTTTTTAACGTTTACTTCCGGTTCGAATAAAGGTTTCAACACAAGTTTTATTTGATGACAGACGAGGACGTAAGTTTCTAGTTTATATAATAAACAAAATCTACAATGCATATAATACTGGTTTCCTAGCAGTTTCCAGCCAAAAATAACAAATAAAATAAAATTGTACAAACCTTTGACATAACAAAGTTAGATACCTGTCCGGCATAAACATGCTTTTAATGTTGCTCTTTAATTTTATTTTTAATTGTAATTAAGGCCTGACATGTAACACCTTTTCTCAATTTTATAAAAAAAAATATCATAGCAGTTTTCGGACCTTTTTTATTTGGAATATTATTCAGTACCAGGAAACAATGTTAAGATGGTTTTATCAAATAAATATAATAATATTATCCCAACCTTTTCTGTGTCATTTGCAAATATATTGTTTAAAAGTATTAGTCAATTTACCTAGAATGGGTTCTCAGTTATTGTGCCTGGGCAATCAAACTAGAATTCCCCAGGTGTTGCTTATCTTTAAATGTCTCATGTTCTCTTTTGTGTCTTTAAACAACAGGCAACACTTAAAAACATATCAATAGCTGTACTATTTTTAACTGCTGTTTTGCATAGAAAACAAATAGTTCTCTGATAGATAAAGTAACATGGATGCTTTAACTGAAAAAATAGACTGTACTGGATTAAAAATGATAAAGGGCCGAAAAACTGCTAGGGGTCGGAAACTGCTTGAAAACCAGAATGATCGATGCGTCCTTGTCAGCCATCATTTTTTTATGATTTTGTCTTTAAAACTGTGTTCCTCAAGATAATTTACGGGATTGATAGGTACCTCAAGTACTTGCATATATAAAATGGGGTTTCCTTTGAATGATTTTTGGCAGAGATATAGTCCTTGAATAAAAATGAGTTTTACCCTGTTAATGATTATGTGTCTCCTGCTACATGTACACAGTAGCTGCAACATGCAAATGGCTATCATCAGGGGACACAAGTCATCACAGATCGCTTTTGTTTTTCCACAGGGTAATATACTGGACAGACTGGGGTAAGGAGCCAAAGATAGAGAGGGCAACCATGGACGGTGGTAACAGAAGTATCATTATGTCGTTAGAACAGAACTCATGGCCTAATGCTCTTGCTTTAGATGTGAAAAGTAAGTATATTATATTTCTATTTGAATCTCCCTAGTTATATTCTGTGCTTATTCAAATGCACATGTAAGAAAAACCATCCGATATTCTCATAATGAATTTTTTAGTATCTATACGAGAAGAAATCAGACTTTTTTCGTTGTGTTTAACATTACCTAGGGAACATTTGATTTTTTTTTTTACTTTTTGAAATTACATATACTCGGAGAACAAACCAGGGCGTACGCAGCATCATTAAGATTCACAAATACGCACGTATACTTAAACACAAGTAAAATGTTTTCCTGCGGTGAACATTTTAATGATATAAAGATATTTCATTTAACTATTTTCAACATTATTGGGGGGGGGGGGGATAAATAAACGTTTGTATCAGGAATATAGTTGACAACTGAAGAAACGATCAATATAGGAGAAGCTAGCTATGTCTTTGGAAACTGGTGACCGTTGAAGACCGGAGAAGGTCGAACATAAAACAATTATTTCTTTTTAAGAAAATGATTAAATAGGCCTACCATTTTATGAATAATTCCGAGCAAAAAATAAATAAAGTAAACACACAATTTTACGCAGAAAATATCTCTATTTGTTATGGCAGATGCCACTACGAATATTTTAATTTTGTAGATTTTCAGTTTAAACAATTTATTGTTTGTAAAATTTAAGATAGATATTAAAGAAACATTGATAAATTTTCAAACACATCATTCAAGTTTTTCCACCTTAAACGGTAACATAATTATAGAAAATTAGAAATATCACGTAATAGTTTTTTGTTCTTAATTAGGTGTAATTCGGACTAATTCCCTATAGGTAAATCCGTAACGTACCGGCAAACGGTATTTAGCTAGGTTTTCGAAAAGGTCCATTAACCAATCATGTACGGTTTACAGATCACATGCTCCTCCATGTACCGAAAACGGTCACGTGCTCCTCCATGCCTCAAAAGTTAAACGCGTACCAATACCCTGCGGTCTCCAGACCGCAGGGAATAAATGATTAAAGCGCAAATCATTTTGAACTATTTCTTAATCGCATCTTCTCGGCCCTTTCCGTTAATCATCGGATAAGTTATTGATAACAACCGAAATGTTTCGACTGACCACAAGTTATCCGGTTAAACTCGGTCAGTGCCGTCTCATTCCGTAACACTGAGTGCAGTGTCGGAATTTGTCTGAAACCTGGTATTGAAGTATACGATATGGTCATTGTCTTGTCGTCTGCTTGATTATTTCAGGTATGAATTTATTTTGGGTGGACGCAAAACATGAAGTTATTGGAAGGATCAACATCGATACAGGGGTGAAGAAAATATTGTACTCGGAACCGAGGGCTCATTTCTTCGGCATGACACTTGTTGGAGATAATCTTTACATCACAGACTGGTTTCGGAAGTAAGTACGGCACAACCTCTACATAGCGACCCTCTATAAAGCCACTACACCTGAATTCAATTTTTACCAAATCAAGAGCAACAACTCTCGCCAACAATTTTTGCTCCAAGAGGGTGTTGCTCTGATTATTATTAAAGGGACTCGACTTAGGTTTTTTTACATGATGTGCCTGGAAATTATTTTCTTAAAGACCTCAAATATGGTATTCATATAAAACTACGATAACTATTTTCATGATAAAACAACTGTTCATGTATATTTATAGTTGCAAAATTGTTTGACATGTAATATGGCTCTATGTTAAAGGTTGTTTGAATATATAACCCGAGCCGTAGGCCCATAGGGACATTTATAAAATCATAAATATATACATAAAATAGATATGTGATGATAAAATCATCAATATACATAAGCATATAATAGATATGTGAATGAATAATTCTTTATTTTTCTAGACATATAAGCAGATTAAGTGTAGATGGTGGAGAACTGGAGCAAGTTGGACCTTCAACATTTTCAAAGTTAAATGGAATAACTGGTTATAAGAAAACTGATATCAGAACGGGTAAGTTGGTAGTTTTGAAGTCACTAAGGTTATGTACGAAAGACTGGTGGGAACATTTCAACTTCATGAATTCCCGATTTCAACTTCACGAATTTCCCGATTTCAACTTCACAAATTCAGGATTTCAACTTCGTGAATTCAGGATTTCAATTTAACGAAGCTAAAATCATGAATTCATGAAGTTGAAATCGTGAATTCGTGAAGTTAAAATTGTGAATTCACGAAGTTGAATTCAAGAAGTTGAAATCGTGAATTCGTAAAGTTGAAATCGTCAATCACGAAGTTGAAATCAGGAATTCATGAAGATGAAATCTTGAATTCATGAAGTTGATATCGTGAATTCGTGAAGTTGATATCGGGACTTTATGAAATTAAAATCCTGAATTCTTCATGATGAAATCGTGAATTCATGAAGTTGAAATCGTTAATTCGAGAAGTTGAAATTGTGAATTCACAATGATGGATTCATGAAATTGAAATCGTGATTTCGTGAAGTTAAAATCGTGAATTCGTGAAGTTGAAATCGTGAATTCTTGAAGATTAAATCGTGTATTCATGAAGTTGAAATCGTGAATCACGAAGTTGAAATCGTGAATTCGTGAAGTTGAAATCGTGAATTCTTGAAGATAAAATCGTGAATTCATGAAGTTGAAATCGTGAATCACGAAGTTGAACTCGTGAACTCGTAAAGTCTGAAATCGTGAATTCATGAGTTCAAATAGTGAATTCGTGAAGTTGAAATCAGGAATTCATGAAGCTGAAATAATTAATTGGTGAATTCCGTATGTCGAATACGTGAATTCACGAAGGGAAAATTATAAATTCATGAAGATCAAATCGGGAATTCATGAAGTTGAAATGGTCTTACCGGTCTGTTTGGGATGTTCCATTTTTAAATACAAAAAGTTATTTTCTTAGCTTGATGCATTTAAAATCTCTAAAATTTGATTAAATGATATCTGATCAGTACGGGGTCAACATATTATAATAATTTTACACAGACTGCAGGTACAGACCGGAATATCTAGCCCGAGGAAAACTGCTGATGCGGTAGACGACCTTTTTCAAGATTTCGTTATACAGTTGCTCCACAGTCCGTGTTTCATTCTTTGTCTTGCATATTACCTTGAATGATATTTCACAAAAATTACTAAAACTAACTTTCATATTGGAGTTCTTGTAGCAGCTAATGAATTCAACAACTTCATTCATTACGGCGAATTGACGTAATTCAAAGAAAATCCTATCATTTATATATAAGAAATGAAGAAAACTTGACTGTTGTGTTGTTAAATATCTTGCCGGATTAGTTATAATGCATGGAAGTCAAAGTACGGGACCGCGAATCGGGCCAGGGCTTTGGCTTTCCCGACTTTAGACTACTTGTGTATTTTTGAAAGTAAATCAAATAAAAAGCAATTAAAAGATATATAGATTTCTATACCTATCAGTGAAATTTACGGTGTCATTTCTAATTGGGCGCCGCCATTTTCAATGTAACGCAATGATAATAGACAGGATAATATATAAATGAATAATCGCAACTTTTCAGTTTATTGATAATTGTCGAGGTATTCCGGTTTATTAATCTGTTTTTGGGCTTGAGATAATTTTACATTTCTTCAAAACAATTAATGCTATAAATCATTTAGTTCATCTTAAATATGATACTTACCGAACAACGCCATGGAGGATTTTATATAAATAACACATGACTGGCGGGGTGATAGAGGATATTGCCAACTCTTGAACTGGCATATTATCATGCGTCTCGGGGAAATATCCCAGTTCAAGAGTTGGCAATAGCCTCTATCACCCCGACAGACTGTGTTATTTATTTTATCATACCGAAAGATCTACAACTTTTATTATACTGAAAGACCAACAACTACAATATTTATGGTGACAAATTGACTTAAAATAAAAAAAATAGTCGAAGGGAATTAACTAGTACATTATTAAATACGGAGGTATGTAGGTGTTATTTCCCTTACACCAAAAAACATAAAGTAACAGGAAAAATTGCTAAATATGGAGTTATGTAAGAGTAATGTGTCCCAGGGTGATGTAAGAAATATTCCCCGGGGAATATATCCCAGGAGGGTGATAATCAATTAGAAACAATTGTAGGCCTATAATATAATATAATACCTTGATAGGCCTATGGGAGTTTTACATTGAAGGATATATTGAGGTATAATAAAACAGTTAATTATGTGAGCATGACATGTGTTAAGCGAGCTTTTTTCTTTAGTTTTCAGCAAATGTTTACAAAGCACGTGCTCCCATCTATGTTTACCTGTTTCCGGAAAAGATTACAAATGCGCATGCTCAGACGGTGACCAAAATCCTTTGTATCCTTGTCGGGAAGTGGACGGTAAGTCTGCAACTTTACTTTAAATATGATTCATTCGTCGTTTAGTCGTCCAACAGTGTTATTCTTAACTTTTTTTTATCTTAATGTGTGATACTATTAATAGCTATTCGTTATAATAATACACTGAACTTCAGTATAAGACATAAGATATATTAATTTAAACTGATACTCACATTTGAATATATTCATGGATGTTAATATCTTTGAACTGAGATGAGACGTCCGTTGTCTAGTGGTTACCGTTGCTACTTGCCATTCACCTCTATGACATTTTATAGTGTAGGTGAGGCTAAAGGTATGCTTTTCCGCCAAAACAAATCATACATCGGTAAATATCTTAGCAAATCGATCATTTCCGAAACGTTTTTGGTTCTTTTTTGTTTTTTTGTTGTTGTTTTTTTTGCATTAAAAATTATTCACAATCACTAATTCCAGTTATAAAAGGTAAAAAGATATTGCGCACCGAAGATTGTGAAAAATAACGTTCCGGAAATGGCCGATTTACGCCGATGTTAGAATTGTTTTGGCGGGAAAACATTCTTAAAGACCTCTATAAATTGATCTTTAATAACAGGACTTTTAGTATCTTGACAATAATATACCGTTGTAATATTAAGCCAGTGAGGACTAAATGTCATTATTTTTAATTATTATTTCAGATATAGACAACCAAGCTATAAAGGTTTTAAGCCATAAAAGAGGTAATAAATATATTGTTTTAAAATTATTTAGAGGTTCACTAAATGCCTTGAAAATTTTATTTACTTATGTCAGTAATCATCATATAAAGTACTAAGAAGTTTAGATATTCGGCTTACTATGCAAAAAAAATATTTAAAAAACCCGGAAGTGGATGCTCACGAAAAACAAAATTAGATCGCAAATGCAAAACGAGCACTGCCTACTAAAGTTTAAAGGGACTCCAATGAGGGTTTTTTTGGCATTATGGTACTGGTAATATTATTTCGATTTTTGAGTACTATTTAATGGAGGTCTGGTCAAATAACATGTGTGCAAATTTTCAGATCATTCCATAAACCCGTTTTACCAGAATAATCATTTTTATTGTGCAAAATAATTCGAACATGAAAAACGTTGCAACGCCTTCCACTCAAATCTTGCTAAGAGACACACAAACAAATCCATACTCAATTTCATTCTGAGTATATTTCTTTATTATCCTTTGCATATATTTCTATTTTAAGTGATTCGCTTAATCCGTTAAGATTTCTTATTTTATGGTGTTTTTTCCAGCCTTTTGACTTCTGTGGGGCTCCTTTTAACTTGACCGGATTTTCTTAAATTTTACATGTTGTCTTTGTTAATCTGTTATTTTCATGCTAGTTGTTTTGTTATATTTGCTGGGGTGTTTTATGTTTTTCATTTTTTTATCGTGTTTTTTCTATTATTTATCAGATGGTAGTCCAGCATTGACGATAGGCCTGTCAGTATTGGGTGTGGTCGCTGTGCTAGTGATAGTGGTTGCAGCTGTCTACATTTACAACAAAAAGTAAGTTACCGATGGTTTTCCCGACAGTACTGAGTAAAATAAATGCAATAAAGTGTTTTGCAATTTTTTTTTAGAAGTGAAAATATCACGTAACAGACACCGTGTTAGATAGATAAAAGCTGCCTCAATTGACCACCAAACTTCCAATATTTGTTAGCATATTGACCATTAAAATGTAGATACTCATGTTCAGAAACAAATATTTCGTGTTCCTTTGGTAGGACTTTATTTAATTTGTTCTTTTTGCAGGTTCCGTGGCGCTAATATTGCCCACGATCGCCTCGTTGAAGATACAGGTGCCTCTAGAGTTGACACTTATTACAAAATAACGTTTCCGGATCCGGTACGGGACGAGCCGAACTTTGATTCCGGAATTGAGAATCCATCATTTGAATGCAGTGTCGAAGACGTTACTCTTGGCGGGAATATTGTGAAATATAATCCAATGTGAATTAATGCGCAATCTAAAAATAGCAATTCAGGAAAAAATACTCTGAATGGCGGTTAAAAATGAAATCTATTTTAAAAATGTCAAATCAGAAATATCAGAACTTTTTAATAAATTTATAATATGTCTTGCCAGGGCCAATTTATTTTTCTTCGTCAATACGCGAATACGAAACTAACGTTGACAAGTCACGTGATATGTCCATTTATTTTTATCAGAAATAAAATGGCTGGTGTCAGAAAGCCCTGGAAAACTATATATCGTCAGTTGTTGATTTTGAAGTGACAGAATTGTGTTAAAGAAAGAAATAGATCAATAATCATGGTACAATCAAACGGACTGACAACTGTAGTTACCTACATTCATTGTATAAAAATTGTTAAGGGTACAGGACAGTGAGGAAAGATATAACAACCCGAGAATTTCCAAATACATTTGTTTTTCAGTCATTATATATATACTGCCTATTGTATCAATGTTTATAAACTTGTGTTGCTTATTGTTTTAAAATATTGAAATGACGTCATAAACATATGACCCATGTGCAATTGGACAATTCATCATTAATATTATTTAGTTTTTATTGACATAAATGTGTATCTGTATATGCTGGAGGATGTGGGTGTCTACCCTTATTAAACTTACAAGTTGTCTATGCAAGAACAAAAATAGCAAATTGAACAAAAATCCATCCTACCTGCTTAACTAATTGACAGACCCACCATAACCTTTAGTCTACTAGCTACACTTGTTCGCTATTCTGTTTATACTTTTATTTTGAAACTTTCACTAACAAAAGAATGGTTTGGTCTAGATTGAAGGATGGACAAGTCTTTTAAGTTTGTAAGGGTTAAAAACATGTTACAAACAAGAAGTGGACGCTGATCAATAGGATCTACGAATGTGAAATACTTTCGTCATACTTTTACCACAGCTTTGATGAGCTACTGGAAAACTTATATCACATTGTCAGGCAAATTTTGTTTATATTTCTTTAGGGAATGCAGATGTTATTGATAATTTCATTTTATGTAACTGATTTATTTCTGTTTCACCATCACGTACATCTAGTAACTTTATGTATCACATTTTCTTTGTTTTCATCATAACAAACATGTAGGAAGTTCGGCCTAGAATTTGTTCAAAAGTAACTTTTTTAAAAACATTTTTCCTCTGTAGATAGATACATACATGTATATAAGTCTTTGAGTGAATGATATTGTGCAAGTTCTTGTTTCTAAGTCATTCTGTTTAAATACATTCCATGATATAACCATAAATATATGTTTTATAGATATGTCTTATTATTCTTTCATGTGAATTTGGTTTGTTACTTTGATTTATAGAACCAAAAGTGATGAATATTAGTGTTTTTTTTCTTTAATATTTAAAATCCTTAAACTATGAACGGACTGTTTTAAATTAAAAGCAGGGTGAACCCATTTCACAAATTTAACAGGTTAAAGCACAATGCCTCCAGATTATTGCTAATTTTCATGAAAACCTTTGAAATTTATTTAAAAGTAAATATTGTGAAGTTAACAGAGAAAATGATTTGCACATTGCAAACGTCAAATACAATCCATGTAACTTACCAACAAGAGGTCAAAATATGCAAAAAAAAATCCCTTACTGATTATAACCCAGTACTCGCCTGCGCATCGGCCGAATATTTCACTAGCGTTCACTTTTTGAAATAACGTTAACGTAAGTGTATTCATTGAACTGCGAAGGGAGCGTAATAACGCAGTAGAAATATGGCGATAAATACTTCATAATCAGTCTATAATGGCACGTAACATGAAAATCATTACTTGAATCTTGAATCTTTTTACTTTTCTTAAACTCTAAGAAAGCCTTTGATTTCCTTGAAGTATTTGGGCTTATCTGGAGGCATGTAGCTTGAAGTATTTATGCACAGTGCAGTTAACTTAAGTGCTTGGGCGAGCTATATCATACAGACTTACCCCCACCAGCAATCATGTTGTAATAGACTTGCATGTTTTTGGATGAGGAATAGTCCATTAAACTCTAATGCATTTCTATTTAAATTAAATGCTTAAACAGCAAGAAGAACCGAGTTTGGTCGTGCCGTTTTGTCTGAAGCATAGGCAAGTCTTTAAAGTTGCTTACATTCAAAGGGCAAGCATCTCTACCTAAATCTGTGTAATACATATTAATATGCAATGTATATATATATATATATATATATATATATATATATATATATATATATATATATATATATATATATATATATATATATATATATATATATATATATATTGTATGGTATGAAATATATTGTTATTTTATGATTCGGTTTCAGATTTTTGCTTACTTAAGCATATTTTTGGAGCAAAGTTTCTGGTTCGATCCCCGGGAGATGCTTTGGTAGTTTAGCGCGGAGGAAGGTTGTCTAGTACTGGTGTAACTCTCCAGGAACGATGGTTAGGAAACTACCCGCCTATATGACTGAAATACTGTTGGGAAAAGGCGTAAAATCAAACAAACAAACAAACAAATCTTGATAGTGTTGTCAAAAGTCAGTGTTCCAATATACACCAATGAGGGGGTTACGGTGTTTTTCTTCGAATACGTCTTCAGAATATCACAAAAGTTTTAAGAAAGTTGTGATATCTATCTGTTATTCAGACGATAAGAGGTTCGAGAAAAACAGTTTCAAATACCAGTGATTGAGTTTCATGCAATTTGTTCAAATAACCATATGTATGCCAAAGATTAATTAGAAACAGCTCTATTCATGTATGAAATACAATGTGTTTTCTCGTTGACCCATATAACTTTTTACCTTGAATTGGAATTATTCAAAGGCTGATTACGCCGTTACTTGTGGGTGCGAGAGATGTTGCATCTATGACTATCATTGACAATTGGACTCAATAAAACGAGTCTTGGACATTTCTGTTGAGAAATCAACCTTAGAAGAAACAAAATAAAGAAAAAAGGGTGCATAACTTTAAAAAAGAAAAATTAGCTATATTACTGAAATGTTGTCATATTTTGATAGTGAACATGTATATCAAGTTTGTAGTGAAAGTATTGAATAGTTTCTGAGAAAATAGAACTTAATAAAAAGATTAATCAGGGCTTAAATCTAAGTTGAAAAAGGGGCATGACTTTGCATAAAATAATTTTTGGATTATCTACCCTTTTGAAATGGTGTCATTTTATGACAATAAATATGTATAGCAAGTTTGATCTGAATAGCTTTTATAGTTTCTGTGAAAATGGACCTTAACGAAAATTTAACCAAACATCGAGCTAAAAATGTGAAAAAAGAAGTCATTAAACATTAAACAGCTGTAAAACCTATATCAGACTCGGCTAGTTCCTTGTCCAACATAGGTTTGACAGCTGTGTGAATTAGCATTTTATTTTCCTACGCGTCCAAAACTGTTTATGTCAATTAAATGTAAAGAAAAACAAGAATTGCAATTAGCGGGAATCTTTCTTAAACTGAATGCAAACAATTTTTAATGCTGTTAAGTCAGATTTCAATATAGAAATACATGGATATAGTTTAATTCAATGACAACATGGTATAAACAATAATAATGAAAGTAAAAATAACAATGAAACATTTTATAGGATGAGTCTGATTGGCTATACAATATGGCCTGTTATGAATCAGGCAATGAAACATGGCGTACATATATTATTGTTCACTATCCTTTCATCCTCGATGTTCTCTTCCGTTAGAAACTCTACCATCTTGTACATCTTTAGCTTTCTCGCCAAAAACAGGGCATCTCTTACTTCAGCACTTGATTTATTCCAAACCCCTCTATTCTTTAAAAAGTCTACAATTTTTACAAGTGCAATCAAATCGCCCGCTTTGACAGCAGCCGATAAATGTTCCTGTTTGTAAACGACACCTTCCGATATTAACAAATCACACAAGTATCTGTTACTCCAATGTACACATGCCGTTAAAGCCAATTCTTTCTGTATGCATTTCCAACACAGATTTTCTGTTATAGACGTGCTTCTGTAAACCCTGAGTTTGTCGTCTCGGCTATCAGGTCTTGTCCTTTTCGGTGAACTTCGACTTCTTCTCGATGACATTGACGATGATGAGCGTCCGTCACGTGATGCACTACGAGGTCTAGATATATTTCTGCGGTGCTCACAGTCAACGGAACTAGAGACTTCTTGATAAACCCTTCGTCTGTCTTCATGTTCCGGTGATAAAAGACATTCGCCGTTTCCTGCAGTATCATGTATAGTTTTACTATCACTGTCGCGAGTTCTTTGATCTGCACTATGTTTGCATCTCATCCGAAGTAACATCTTCTCTACTACGTAGGAAACCATTTTTATATCTGTAGTGTGAATGTGTCTAAAAACGAACGCTAGAAAGAAGGAGAAATGCGTATGTGTTCCATTTGGAAGATTCCATGATTCACGCGGTTCAACAGATTGCGCGCGCAGAAACTTCTTTGTAACGTGATTTTCGTTCAAGAATGCGAAAAATTCGTCAACAAATTCTTTGTCTTGTAGAAGTGTGTTATTCGCAGCTTCATGAATCTTTTGGTGAACCAATACTTCGTTGGCGATTTTCTTCATGTTTTCATCAAAAACTTTAAGAAAAACAAAAAAGAAAAAAGTAAGAAATAGTACAATAAAACAAATTCCGGTCAAAAAATTTGTTGTGAGCAGTTCTGTCTTGCACCACTAAAACAGACCAGCTATGATAACCATAGGAAAAGATGCATCTTTTTGTGCACCAATATCTGTAGAAGCACAGGAATGTATTTAAAGCCCGAGCCCGCAGGGCGAGGGATTCAATAAATCCAATGGCCTATGTTCATGTTATTGCACAAAAAAGTGCATCAATAATTAGCGCCATTCTTGCATACAAGTATACGTCTTATCGTATACGCTAATTCCGAGTTCTTGTTTATTATATTATTTTTTTTTTCGTACAATGAAATAGGTTTTGTTTCACATGATATTGCGATGCCATGTACGATAATGAAACTACAGCGCCGTCATTGCAGAAAGCTATTTTTGTATTACTCCTTGGGTCTCGCATATGAAAAATGTGCAAACAGCGGCGCGTCATCAATTTTAATGCATTTTTTCTTCTCCGTTATCATATCTTTCTAAGTAAATGAATTTACTCCTTTAAATTAATTCATTAGAATATACTAGTAACTAAAGATAGATTGGCATTTGTTGATATTTGAAAATGAATATTAAAAGTATTGCGAGATGACAGATATTTTTGTTTCCCTATCAGAAGGAACGATAACGATATATCGACAGGCATCTTCAGAAAAGAATGTTATACCTTTACGTTTTCTGCCATCTCCATTTTCTTCTGATTTCGGTTTCCCTTCTGTACCAAGCTTTTTGAAACAAGTGAAAGTCTTTTCTTTGGCTTTATCTCCTTTGGTCTCTTCATATTCTTTTGAATTTTTGTCGCCTTTCTTGCTTTTATTACTAGTGACTTTTTGCTTTACTTCATTTTCTTGGTTTTCATTATTTTCATCAGTCAAGTCGGGTTCAGCCGTTGGTACGCAAATAACCGTATCAATTACATCGTGTTCTTTTTTTCTAATAACAGTCTCCTTTGAAGTGTTTTTCGACCGTCTCGATCTTTGCCGTCGTCCTGAACTAGGTCGTATACCCTTCAAAATCATAGAATTTTCACGCTTTATTTCACTATTTCGCTTGTTGTCTGGAGCATATGAATACTTTTCAGGAGAAACTTTTTCATTTTCGTTTTTTGGCTTGAGTGTTTTTACATGTAAAGGCATTTGCCTCTTAAGTATTGATTTTGTCGGCCGTTTTTCTTTGGCACTACCTGGTCTTGAAATTCTAGAACCGTCTTTCGACAAAGTAGTTGAACTATCCCTGACAGCATACAAACTTGTATCGTTACTTTCCGAATTATACAGTCTTTCATGTTTCAAACTAATGCTTGACCTCCTGCAGACACCGGCTTTGGTTGATGTTTTAGTGGTACTTCTTTCTATAGCAGAAGAAGGCCTTTTCCTGGCAGTGGTTCTCTTCTTCTCTGAAATGCTTAAGCTCCTGTTTTTCACTCTCTCTTTTTGGGCAACAGACGACTTTGTTTCATCAACTTTGTCATTATTTACCTTAACTTTAATAAATGGCTTTTTATCGGAACGAATGGTTCCACGCTTAGAATTTCTTACTGAGCTTCGTCGTGAGGAATGCGACATTACCGACCTTGTAGCCGATGTTGGCCTAGAGCAACTGTATTGTATTGTATTGTCGACATTTTTCCTGACCAAATTCAGAACAGTATCCGCTGACAATGGCCGCTGCTTACGTTTGGGAGTTTTTCTTATTTTAAATTCTGTTTTTACAATTTGCTTGGCCTCGTCGGTTAAATTGCTATCGCGATGCTTTTGTAGCTTATCACCAGAGATCAGTTCTGAAACAAATGACTCAAGTCTCAACTGAGATTTATTTCTTGCTTTTGGCGATTTCCCTTCCATTTCAACTTTACAGATGAATATCCGAACTTGTTTTATGAGTTCAGGGTCGTCGACAACTTCAACTATCCTTTGAATCGAAGCGCATGTTCTGAACCACTCTTGTTTTGCAATGAATCCCTTCTTCGTTATAGTTCCACATCCGGGATCCTGTAGCCTGTTGTTGAAATAACGCTTGTAAATCTTTGACAAATATATGACGTCATCTTGTTCGCTCACGTTAAGACAATTGGACGCCCGAAGAACAAGGCAAAGCAGTTGTGTGTTCCAAGCCGATGGATCTGGTGCTATATCAGAAGGCGGAAAAACTAGGATGAGAAAGCTTTGACTTTTCCTTAAAGCTAGAATGATATTGACTTTGTGATAGTTTAAGAAACTTTTCAGTGTCATTAAACTTGCGTCTACGACCTGCTGTAAGCGCATGCGTAGAACATCAGCAGTTGTCCCGGCAAGAAAGGTCCTTATTATCGTTGCATACTTGAAATACATAGCTCTTTGTGACGCATTTATTGACATCAATTTGTTCTGTCCGAATATCACTCTAATTTTGTGGCTGGGCATACACTTCCATTGCACTGAAAGCAAAATAAATATGCATTATATCGCCATATTTGATCACATGCAAAATAAATAAGCCGTAATAATCAAGATCTGGTTGACTGGGGTTATCAGAAAACAGAAAAGCTTTATGCGTACATAATATAATTGTATCATAGTTTGGGGACCTTTCTGTTGAAAATGTGTGAGTTAAATCGTATACATATACATGCACAGTGCGTTAACTGGAGTGCAGGTATTAGTTACCAGCACATCAGAGCATGCCCATTGATTGGCTCATTTTCTCTGGGGTTTACTTATTGTGACGGAAGAGAAAGGGAAAGCGACAGAAATATCATATTCAGATGCTCGTTCATTGGTTACTTTTTCTCGGGGTTTCATATTGTGACAAAAGGGAACGTGTTTTAATGTTTGACTATGATACAAAAGAGAAAGAACATCAAAACACTCGGCAATCTGATTAATACTCGGGGGATACGCCCCCTCGTACAAATCAGATAGCCTCGTGTTTCGATGCTCTTTTTATTACTTATTTGTGAAGACAAAACCTTCATAAAATCAAATAAGTAGTTATACAAGTAACAAAATATCTATTACACAATTATAATGTACATTCATTTAGTCAAATATGTTTAGCAAGTTTATGGAACAGTTTTCAATGGTATGCAAAACTTAAAAAATTGGAAAGCATTTTAATGGAAGAATAGTAAAAAACGGATTAGAAATTTAAAGAACATTGCATCGGAATGTTATTAACATTCACTTACCTCCTTTAACCGTTGTTTTGTTTTTGACTTTCTGACTAGCATTACAAACGTCTACTTCTTCTTTGAAGCATACGCGACACTTTCGGCTTAGAATGAGCTGATACCGCACCGACTGAATCTTATGTATAAAGACACTACAACAGGAAAGTGAATTTAAAACCGTTTAAAGTATCAATAGTTACACAAATATTCCGACTATTTTCATTCAATTATGACAGTCATGTGTCGTTTGTTCTATTCAAAACGCTACAAAAGACAATGGCAAAAAGACGGTATATTGTATTAAATAAACGCTGTATAGTATTTCTGTAATTTAAGAAGGGTAAAACTTTTGAGTAATTTGATAATTTAATTTGAGAAAATTTATTAGTTAGTAGATCTATAAATGTTTAAACCTTAGCTTAATTAATAATGAAAATATCTAAATTGATTCTTTTACTGTCTTGGTAATCTTTTCTTTTTTCGAGGAAGGGGAGTGGGGTTCGGGTTGGGTCGTTTAACTAGAATAACGTGTAAATTTATATAAAATCGTACGTTAATATTTGTATACTAAATTCTAAATTCATACTAAATGCATGATTTGTTGTTAAAATAACTCTTTTATAGATTTTAAGACAAATATATGACGTAACCTTTTATCACGTACGTTAACGGAAATCAACTGGAGGTCCGAAAAGCAAAGCAACAGTTTTGTATACCAATTGGGACATAAAAATAATTCCCATGCTGCAAGTGGAGTGAGAAATCATGTAAATCACGACTTTAATCAATGAAATTACATGTATACATATGAAGCTATATATAAAGCCATGTAACTTTAAGCCGAAATGTTTGATAATATTCCATTAAATAGAAATAATTACAGTTGTATATTTAAAGATATTGTCAGCTGAAGAATAGCAGGGACATCATCCCATGCATGTCTGGCCTTTGCAGATAGCTGTTAAAACCTGAGTTTAGGAAGTTTCAGATTAGGTTATAATAATGTAAGGGAAACAACTCAAAAGACATGGTGTGATTTTCAAGGGAGACAAGTAAGCTCTTCAAATTGGAGGGATATGTCTGGTGTGGTAGAAGCCTGGACGAGTCTTATTGAAATATTCAGGTAAAGTAATGTTTTTGATATTTTATATATTCAATTCTTGTCTGATTTGAAACATATTTCAGTTCAAATCGATACTTTTATGTTGTCATTCATTATCTTCACTCAGAACTTTTATAATCCGCTCCAGACACAGTGACCTAGATTTTTCCTCGTGGTTAGACAGGTGGGTGGGGAAATGATACGCATTTTTTTAGGAATGGGGCTATTAGCAAAGATGACATGAAATTTGCAATTCATAATATAAAAAAGTAATATGATATTGTATTGTAGAAACTTTATCGTCAATGTTCCTTTATATTATCAAGCGGTATTTGTTCTATGAATTAAGTAGGTCATGTTTCTGTCCCATTTAGGACATTTAAGCTTGAAGTTGAGTGAGTTAATAGTAAAGATATATTATAATTATTAATCATTTACTAGCTGAAGTTGTGGCAACCATTTATTAAGTAACTTCTTTGCTGACTTGAGCAAAAAAGAGACATTATTTTTTTTTTGTATTGAATTAATTAATTAGCTTTATCAGCCTACCTGTTATAGTCAGACCTCCCAGTTACATGTATCATCAGTCTTGATTGTTCTGGAATATCATGTAGATATAATTATGGAGGTCTTGTTAAAGAAACCAATACTGGAGAGATAACTCTGACACTTAATCACAGATTTTTTTTTTGCAATATCATAATTATCTTCATTCATATATAATTATGACCTATAATTCTACATAATCCAAATCCAGTTCAAAAGAAAATTGGTAAACCGTACCTGGGATTGATTTTATTCATTAGATATTTTCAAGCAGGTCACATAATATTCTACAGTTTTGCTAGGCATGACAAATTTGAAAGCTGTGACTTACCCAGTATTGCCCAGTAATACCCAGTTTAGAGAGTATTGCCTGGGAAAACACGTGTTTTACCACCTGGGTTTTCCCGGGCGGTCAATACTTTGTCAACCCTTAAAGTGCCAATTAAATCTGAAGTTCAAATTTACAGTAACTCAAAGGACAAAAACAATTATCTTAAACAAGCAGTTTGAGTCTGTCTTCTCAAAACCACAACTATTAAACTTGAAGCCATACATGCCATACAATTATACATGTGGCCGAGGGATTTGAGTTGATGACTTCTCATCCAGTTACCTCTCTGGCGTGGGTTCGATCCCAGGAAGATGCTTTGGTAGTTAAGCATGGAGCAAGGTACTCTAGTACTGGTGTAACTCTCCAGGAACGATGGTTAGGAAATTACCTGCTATATGACTGAAATACTGTTGGGAAAAGGTGTAAAATGAAACAAACAAACAAACAAACAAACAACTATACATGCCTGAAGTAATATCTCCCCCCTTAAAAAAGCAAGGATAATTGCATTTTTTGTTTGTTACTCCGACACACTTCAGCTGACTGTCAAGGAATAATCAAATCAATGCATGACACAATTATCCTTCGGTAAACCTGTCAATCAGTGTCAGAATTGCAGGCACTTAACCAATGACAACTTCCGATACTGAATGCGTGACATATCAATTTTTGTATCAGGGTTCGTACAATCTTAAAAAGTGCTTAAATTTGAGTCCCTTTCTTGAAAAGTGCTTAAAATGTAAAAAGTGCTTAAAAGTCCTTGAATTTGATTCCTTTCTTGAAAAGTACTTAAAAAGTGCTTTAATTTGCTGAAAATATGCTTGAAAATAATTGAATGATATAATGTGGATAAAAATCAGCAGTTAAATAAATGAAACAAAATGATCAAATTTAGTATCAAATTCAATGAAATGTTTGCTCACAGTAAGAGTAAGTGGACAAATTGCATTTGTTGGAACTAATCTGTTTTTGATGCACCCTTTGATGTTCTTTTATAAAACCTTAAAATTTTGGCCAGAAAATGTGTATAATTCAAGAAAAAAATGGTGAATAAACTATCCTTAGGTTGAATATTGTGTTGATATATGTGCAACAAATGTGCTTAAAAATGGGAATACTTGCTTAAATAGTGCTTAAAAAGTCCTTGAATTTTGGATTTGGAAGTCTTTATGAACCCTGTGTATCGACATGTAAGGCCAACTTTGGTGTAGGTGTTGCATCTTTAAAGTTGTTAAAGGGAATGATGCAGATAAAAAATAATGATCAGGCACAAGAAACTCAAAGAATCACAGATAAGCAATGTTTGAAACTAGCTTTGTCTCACAGTAACCGACAAACTCTGAGGAGGGATTGAAAGGGGGGGGCGGGCGGAATCCATTTCAACTCTAAATTTTTAAAGAAAGAACACAATAAATCATTAAATTATTAAAATATAATCACAAAACAGTCTATAATTCTTCATAATACAAATGTAAACTTTTTAAAGTGAAAACCAGATATGAAACTCCATTACTGATATTTCCATGAAGAATTCATTGCAGATTAAATTCCAGTGTAAATATTAGACATTCTACACTTTCTTTGTATCAAGAATTTGAATTATATATTAAGTAAATAAAGAAATCACCTTATTTATGACTTAAAATAGCATGATATCGGGGCCGGCAATATCTGATTTTGACTTACTAGTCCGTTTTTCTCTATAGCATTTCTTAACTTGTCCGTATAGCATCTATTATATTAAGTTCTTGAAAATTTCCACTTGCCTCGAAAAAAAGGCGGGGGTGGGCACGTCTTTATGAGGGAAAAGGTTAAGAGTATGGGTGTAAACCAGAAAGTTCTGGATCAACTCATTTCTGCCAAACTGTAGCCAATGGGTTGTGGTTGAAAGTCACAACTCAGACGAGACCGATTGCCAATGTTATCTGTTGTCCCCCAGGGCTGAGTCATTGGATGCTGTTTGTTTCTGGCATATATCATTCAATGACCTGGTAGAAATTGTCAAAAGTAGAAGAAGGCTATTATTTTGTGGATGACACTATAGTTTACTTAACATTCAAGTGACAATCAGATATGGACAAAGATTACAAATTGCAGTCTTCGAAATTAACGCCAGTCCGAGGCCACTAAATTTAGCATCGGTCCGGTGATTATTGCAAGGTTGGTGGTCCGACGGGCCAGTAGATTTTTGGCCGTGAAAAAATATTATAAGAAAAATTCAACAAAATAATGAAGCAGGGCTCTCTAAAAGATTGATATTTTTGCCTTTTTTGCAAATGAAACCCATCAATTCTGTCCTAAAAATTCAAAACACAGCGAGAGATGTCTAAATTGTATTGAGTAATGGAGGCCGCCATTTTTTCTTTGATATTTTCCGTACCGCACCGTACAGTTACGGAAATTAAACCATTGTTTATAATGGTCATTATTTACCTACGATTTTGTGATAATTGAGTTAAGTTAATATTTTGTGTGAAAGTGATTTGTTTGAAGCAAACTGCGTTGTTCATGTTCAATGCTAGTCAGTTTTGCCTTAACATTTGGTCCTTATAAATTTATAGAGCTATCAACTTATGGTCCAGAATACAAGAAGTATTTTGCTTCTTTCAAAATTAACAAGGGAAGCATGATAAAGTGTTTTCCTTTACCTTTACCCATCAATTTATTACCTATCTATGTATTTGGTCCGGCTAAAAATCACCAGGTCCAGTAAGATTTGAAATTTTACTGGCCCGAATGTCCTGTGCTTTTTAAAGTTTTTCGTGAAGACTGAAATTGGCCTCATTAAACTGGAAATTTGGGAAGGGGACTTGGCTTTTAAGCTCAACCCAGACAAGTGTGAAATGCTTTGGATCACCCTACCATCAGTAACCATCTTCCCTTATACCCTTCATAATGAAGTATTAAAATCTGCTGAAACTGCCAAGTACCTTTGAGTATCTTAAACTCGGCCTGACACATAAATGACATCACTTCCATAAACTGGTGACATTACTGCATGCAGCCCATTTCTAGTCCCCACAAGTATGTTGTTTTCTTGCTTTAACCTTTCACTCTTTTATTTGTAAACTTTTAACTTTTAAACAAAGCACCTTACTAGGTATAACATGGTTTTGAAATTTTCAGACAAGCGCCTCCCAGTTATAATATAGGATTACATGTAGATATAGATGCAAGTTACAAAAATTTATTTATGGAAACTCTGGAACTTGTTAAAGGTCATGAATAATGTATCCAAAACATATGTTTTTTTACACACCAACAGTAGATAAAAGTCAACACTTTCATATTTAAGTCAAAAATAGTGTTAGAAATACCGAAAAACAGCATCAATCATTTATTTTTATATTTGATAAGTTTTTCTATTTTTGTTGATAGACAGACATTAGTCTGCGTCAGCTGAGACGGAGTTTTACGATGTGTTTGCGTACTCGACAGTTTTTTCAACATACGTATTTAACACAGAAAATTGCCTCTACTAAACCCTTAAAAAACTCTTCAGTTATCAAACAACTAATGTATAAAACATTTGAAAATTTAACTTATGCCCCTCACTACTTTGGGTTCGAATCCCAACAGGTACTTTGAATTCTTTCATGTGAGAAGGCTATCCAGCTAGCTTATGGAATGTTGGTGGTTCTACTGTACCTTAAGTATTATATAAACAGTGATTAATCTAGATGTGCGTCTTGCGTAAAATACGCATAAAAATCGAAAAAGACGCACAATTTCAAAATATGTGCGTTCAATTTGACGCATGCAAATCAGGTAGTTTATAATCCAAAATATCACGATTAGTGATTTCTATGTACCGTTTGGTCAGTTGAATAATTTTTCAATTTCTTCAGTTGAATAATTTAATTTCCGATGATTACAGGTGCAAGACTAATCACCCATTTGCTTGAAACGCTAAATCCCAAGCAATTGTTGCTTGTGATCGGTAACCGCCCATTATTGGCATAAGCCAATCAGAGCGTCCATTTTGCATGAGAATGGTGAAATTTGCAGAGATCTGCCTGCGCCATTGGCGCTAAAAAAAAAGAATGGCACAGGAAAATCGTCAGCAAAGGGCCAAGGGCGCATCTAAAATCTGTGCCAGACCAGGTACGTATTCACATACGTACCTGGCCAGACTTATATTGTA